TACTCTGAATAACATGTGAACCAGTGGGAAGGCATAGAAGTGCATTCCTGTCTAATCCTGACTAAAAGCATTTACTGCCAATGCCCGAGGTGATGTACTGGAGACCAAAATTGTGGTATTTGAGTGTTCCAATGAGTGGTAAATGCATTGATCATCAGTGTCCCAAACTGAGAGCAAATCCAACAGAAAACCTTGCAATGCAGCATCCATGCTGTTGGGAGAATCCAGCTCAGACAATTGCAAGGGGAATTAAGTGGGGAATAGAAGACTGGAGCAAGCAAGAAAAAATCATACCAATGCTTAGATGGGCAAAGGAAGGAAACATTAGCAGTTGAGTAATAGCTGTAGTGTGAGGGGAGGTAAGTATGTCTTGGAAATGTTAACTTCTGAGACAATACATCACCACATAGCTAGAATCCACACTGAAATGGTGGAGCAGCCAGTGAAAATATTACACCTAGATAAGCTCCCTTCAGAAAGCATCTGAAGATAAAGCTCACATAGTGTGACATCTAACAGCAGGGACTTCTTAGAGGCACACTTGTGGGAGACTGCATGTCATCTCAACCAGAATATGCTCTTCACCTAGAAAGAAAGTGAGGGAAAGGCAAAAACTAACAAGTGTTGTAAAGATGAGCTGAATTTTATCATGACCAATTGAGCACACTTACTCAAGTAGTCACCAAGCCAAAAAGTGTAGTATGGTTAGGGTGCAATCAGACCATATAGTGTGTATCCCACCTTTACTCAAGTGGACAGACATATTAAGGTGACAAATCTTTCCCAATACAGGAAGAGGACATGCTAGCTGTTTGAAGGGTGACCCACACTACACAAATAATGCCACCAATGCCCTACTTCCCACCATATTGTGATGTACACAACCAATGAGGAACTATTAATGGTCTCCCACCCCAGTGAACAGGAACTGGTAAGTGGCAAGACTCTTCACCAGATCTCCCCAGTGCAAATTCTTCCCCCTTCTTCAAGTGGAGCATGGGAGACCTGGTGAAGAGTGCCTGGACCTCCATCAAATTCTTGCTGGAAAGTCATTTATTGGAGACATTGCAGTAGGTGATCATAAAACCTTATCTTTAGAAGATGGTAAGCATGAGCCAGACAAATGGGCAGTCACTTCCCTTATACAGGTTTTTTCCTTGATAGTCTATGATGGTAGAGTCTGGATCAGGCAACTGAGTAATTTTAATACAATAAGAATACCTCTAGTGGTACTGCAGAACACCCCATCTTATCAGTGGACACTGGTAGATCCAGGGTGGATGGGTTGAGCACTTTCCATAACACCTAGCCTGATACAAATTTTGGGAAATAAGCATACCCTGGAAGCCAACACCAACCATCTGACAAGATCTTATAAAAGGAAAAATGGTGATAAAAAAGAAAATATACTTTCCCTTCTCAAAGATGGTATGTAGTTCTATTGAAAAACAGTAAGTGAATGGAGTCAAAATCACACAGGATGACATACAAGGGGCAGTGAAAATGAGATACAAGAGAGGAAGACAATTGATGAATCTGAGGCAATGAAATATGAAATATTGCTCTTCACCTTCCAGAGCAGTCACAGTCTTAAGAAGAAAGACCCAGTTTGAATAGAAAAGTGAGTAGGTATAGTGAAACAGAATGCAGGAAGCCCTGATGGCATATACATCTCAACAACAATGACCACAGGCAAGAAGTAGAAGACATAACTTCAAAAAAGGAAGGTATAAGCCAATGGCTTGAATGGAGCAAGTGTAAGAACGTGTAAAACCACATCAAAGTCCCAGTCAGGCATAAGAGTAGGACAAAGGTGTTGGTGAACAATGAAATATCAGAACAAATTAGAGAGGACAAAAGATGAAAAATCTGACAGTAATGGTAATGGCAATATGTAGTTGCCTGAAAACAAGCAATAGTGAAAACCAACATAACATGGTTAAACAACCACATGAAAAAGGCTGAAAAGTGGGCCACAGAAGGATGGTCCAGAAGAAGGGAGAGGCTGATGGACCAGCATAGTAAAACCTGCCACTTCTGTTGATAGACAGACTGAGTTGAAGGATGACAGGAATAAGATAAAAAAATGGTTATCAGAAAGTCCAGCTCTGAGAGCAATAGACTAGATAAGTCCCAAGTGTGCTGAGGAAGGGATGATACTCCAGGGTAAAAGAAAGTTGCATTTGGAGCAAGAGTGTGGGGGAATGGGACAGAGGAAGAGGGGGTTTGGGTGTCAACTGATGAAGCAGAGGAAATCAGGTTGTGCTGGCCAAAGAGGTGCTACCAACAGGAGTGTCACACATAAAAGCAATGATACATGGGAAAAAATGAATAGAAGAATAGACAAACAGTAAAAGGTAAGACCAGTCCTCTCTAAGAGCATCACGAACCAGGGCCAAAAGATGAGAAACTGAGGACCCAAAGAATGGAAGTTTGACACTGAGAGAGGTAAAATTATTCATAAGAGACATGCTCAATTGAGAGTAAACCAAATGAAAAACCTGATAGTGAAAAGACCACTCTATGGTTAGAACCCTGTCTAGCTGAGAAAGGCAATCTGCCACCAAGTTCAGAGCCTAAATATAACATATTCATTGCATGGAAGCAAAGAGCCCTGGAACAGGTATCCCTCTGACAGTTGTTATAAGAAACAATTGTGGAATTATCAGAGAGAGCCAAGACCAACCAATCCACAAGAAAAGAGACAATGTCTCAATGGTCAATGAGAAGTTCAAGGATGTTGACCTGCAATGAATGCTCCTCCAGAGTTCACATGCCCAAAGTCATGTAATCATTCAGAGATGCCCCTCCCCCCAAACCAGATAGAAGCATTTGTGAATAGATGGGGATTCAGTTAGGTGTGGCAAGGGGATGCCCACCATGGTTTTGGCATGGTCAAGCCACCAAGACAATCCTCAAGAAGAGAAGGGGGTGCACAATCGAAGACAACAGATCCTGGGAAAGGTTTGAGCGGTCCCACAATTTCCAATGGAAGAAGTACATGTGTGTGCAGCCTAAATCGATGAGTGGTTAATGGAAAGCCAGAATTCCCAAAAGTAAAAGAACCTTGTGTTCAGGGTGTAAAAGAGAAGCACAAACCTTGGTGACATCTTTCAATTGCTCATATGCAAATCAGTGAAGGCTGAACCAACTGAGATTGGAGTTGAAGATCATGCCTAGATGTACGAAATACAGATAGGCAGGAGATAAGATTTTTAAAGCTTGACATGCTAACCTAGCCAAAGACACTCTTATAGTAGAATGCAAGTGTGAAAAGAGAAGACAATCATCCATGTAGAAATGAAAGCTCAACCCCATTCCATGAACAAGGCAGGTAATTGTCCCCATGACTCATTTAAAGAGATAATGAGCAGATTCAATGCCAAAAGGAAAAGCATAGTATTGGGAGACCTGATACCAATAGATGAAATAAAAAGAAAACATCTGGAAAATGGAGCATTTGGAATGCATAAAAAGGCATCCGACAAGTCGACCTTGATCATCCAGCCTGAGAGAAAAGAATCACCAGAGAGAAAAGAAACTATAAATACAGGACCAAGGGATGGAATGAAACTGGTTAAGAGCTGACAGGTTGATCACCGGACTCCAGTTTCCAGTCTTCTGGAGGACCACAAAAAGATGAGAGGAATAACCAGACATAGGGGTACACATTTGAAAGAATTCTTGGGCAATAGACCTAAAACTTCATCTTTGAGACACTGAAGATAAAAGTGAGAGGAAGGACGAGGAAAGAAATGGAAAACAAGAGAAGGTGAAGAGAAGTGGAGAGATAGGCTGTGGTTGAGAACCTGGATAATCTATCTATCAAACAAAAACGAAGATCAAAGGCTGGTAAAGAGAAACAGACAAGCCCCCACAAGGCCAGACCTGACAAATTATTCGCCAAAAAGGCAAGCAACAACTTTGACATTGAGAAATGGGAGGATGGGATGTAGAAGAAGACCAAGAAACTGGGATGGAAAGGGAAGACATGTATTCAGTAGTCCAAGAAACTGAAACAGAATGGCAAGACAAGAAACCATAATAGAAAATGAAGACTTATGTCGGTATGCCTAATTTTGGGTATCCAGTGGGTCAGGAACACCCCTAAAGAGCTCTGGGAAAAAAAATGTAGCCTGACAAAGAACACAACGAGAAACAGGATGGAGGTGTATATTAGCTCGGAGAGCATCCCGTTCCAACAAGCCACAACAGCAGAAGGACCAAGAGGGGACAAGTTAGGGGGTTTCCCTAACAGACAGAGAAGGAAAATCCCAGGAGATATAAGACTTAATTGATTGTATTCTCAAGGGATGATACTTTCTAGTAAGTAAAAACCTTTGCTTAACGATGGACAGA